AATTTATTTTGCAAAATGGTGGAGTAAGGATACTTGTTAAAGGAATAATTTTTTACTTTAAATTTTCGTAACAATTACGTTGAAATACATAAACGAACAAAAGTGTAAACTTCCCACTTAATTTCAAATTAACTTTTTTTTTCAGACAAAAATATTCCAAATTAAAAAGGACTCTAAACAATGTATATTGACATTTAATCATGTTAGCTTAAATGCTTTAAATTATTAATTATATATTTACAAGAAAAAAAGTGGTCATCGGCTAATTAATTAGACCAGAAATTCTCTTTGAAGTAATTCCTCTTATCCTTTCCAAATACTTAACAAAGTGCTCTGTCGCTTCATTTTCACCTCTTGTTCTCTGAATTTCATTATTTTCATAAAGCAGCCAGAGCGAAAGATAAATGTATCTTGCCACCAAAACCACTTTACCCACCAACCAGAAAATAAAAAAAAACGAAAAAAATTGGTGTAAGAGCAATTTAGAGGCAAAGTGACTTCAAATTGCTGCTTCTACTGGGGGTCGTCTCTTGTTTACTTAGCAAATGACGTCAAAGGACATCCATACCCTACTACACGTTTACCCACACCCACAGAAAAAGAAAACTCTTAGTGAAGGAGAACTCGGAGAGCCGCTTAAATGAAAAGCCTGAAGGCATCTTTGTTTATTCGGCTCCATAAATATGCTTAAAATTCTAATGTTGTGGATGGCAAGCGCGTAGAAAATTTAAATGCAAACTTTGTGTGTGCTTAACAAGAAGTTTTTTTTTTGTGGGCGGGTCTCTAAATACAAATTGCATGGAAAATGTGCGAAATTAAGTTGTGCGGGTTGTTTGCCTTCTAGGCAAATACAATTTTTTATTTAATTTCAAAATCTGGTCCTCTTTATTCAGGCAAAAAAGAATAAAATGTTTGCTAAATCAATATTAAAGTTAAAAATACCCTCGATATTTGCCATTATAAAAGCCAATAATTTTACAAATATGTTAAATAATATTTTTCAAAAGCGTTTATTAATTTGATATTATAAAAATATAGTTAGTCCCTAGCATATAGCCCTTATATAACTTTAACAATGTTTATTTATAGACATTATTGGTAGGGGAATGCTATTATATTTCGTTAAGAATTATTTTTTACATTATTTGCAAATTCACAAGAGATACATTTCTATTTGAATTAGTAATAAACACCTTAAAAGTTGTACCTCTACTTTCACCGACGAATTGAAGCGACTGCCGCCATGAAGAAAAAAGATTGCTAGAAACTAAATATATTTGCATCTCTTATTTATTCATATTCTTTGTTTTTCCCCAGCTTTATATTTAAATAATAAGAAGCTTTACTTCGCTCTTTTCGTTTTCTTATCGCTTTCTTTTTTGATAAGCCGCCTTATATGCTTATCTTGTATTCAGCATATTCCCAGTTCTCCCAAAGCTGGAACATTATAAAAATGCCATTTTGCAACTTAAGAGCGCCTAAATTTTTAGACTTTAAAACGGTGAAAACAAATAAAAGCTACCAATTCAGTTAAGTTCTCTTTAATTTCTTAGTGAGCTATAAAGTAACAACATTAAATGAAATTGTACGAATATAATTATATTCGGAGCTTTCCTTAAGAACACAACTTATCAGAGACTTTTAGTTAAGTAAAGTGATTTTTACTTTAAAGCCGCCACGCCTCGTGACCATTTGAGACCAGAAAATACATTCTTAAGAAATCAATAACTTTAAATGCATCTAGGACAAGTTGTGCCGCAGAGAGGCTGCCTGGAAATGACTTCATGTGCGGAAGAGGAGAAAAAAAGCGATGTGGCAGTAAAAAATGGAGAGCTTGAAAAGTGTCACGATTGCCGCCTGATCCCCTGACAAATTGCGTTGCAGTCCTGGGGCGGCTAAATAAAATGGACAAACACTTGCCAGGAGCAGGAACTGGAGCTTTCTGAATGCCCCGGGAACCTCATCCATAATAAATGTACACGCAACAATCAGAAACACCTCCCGGAACACCGTCCGGAAAATGGCAATCAAGTCAGACGAAAAGCCAAAGCACTTTGTTGTTCATATTTTATTAATGCACCAAAAAATCTTGGGCTGAATTATGTTCCTTGGCATAAGTGCAAAAGTACCTGCCGGAAAGAGCCTTCACGTTAATAGGAGCAGGATGTGCAACTACTATGGTTTTCAGGAAAGCATAAGAAGGTCACAAATATTGTATGCGGTAGTTTTGCCACAATTTTGTCATTCTGCCAGCTTTTTGAGCCACTCTTTTTGCACACGGGTCAACGGGGCGTATGGGTGGTGTATGTGTTGGTCGCTGGTATTTTGCGGTGCCCACTTGTCTGGGCCCGAAAAAGTGGCAGCGAAATAACAAACTACGCAGTTCGAACGGTTTCGTGTCGGGTCAAAAGCAAAATTATACACATTTAGAGCCGGAGGAACAGCTGCTTCCCATATTTGTTATTGTTCGTACTCACACTCGATTTGTGGGCTTGTAAAAAGCTCAAATGGTCAGTGGGTTCATTGTTGAGGGTTTTTTTTTTTTTTTTTTTTTTTTTTTTTTTTTTTTTTTTTTTTTTTTTTTTTTTTTTTTTTTTTTTTTTTTTTAATTTTTTTTTTTTTTTTTTTTTTTTTTTTTTTTTTTTTTTTTTTTTTTTTTTTTTATTTTTTTTTTTAATAATTTATTTTTTTTTTTTTTTTTTTTTTTTTTTTTTTTTTTTTTTTTTTTTTTTTTCTTTTTTTTTTTTTCCTTTTTACCGACCGATTGATGGCAAAACATTTCCAGTAACTGTCAAAAGTGCCATTATCATCGGGAGGAATGCCTTTTATTAAGGGCAATTTGCGAAGAAGTTTTATAATTTGAGGGGAAATGAGGTAAATGGTATTTCCGATAAGCGATTATATAGATGTTCTTTCAATTTCTATAAAAACTTTTAAGTCTGATGTCTTTACTTTAAAAATAGATGCGAAAGAAAAAGCGGTATTTAAAGATTGCACAAAAAATGTACGAGTTTTAAAAACTTCAAGGCTTAAAGCAGTTACAAAATTGGTTCAAATTATTTATTGGCAAAAATAGAAAAATCTTCTAAAATGGAATTACAAAATTTGAAATTCAATTACCAGACTTTTATTTGATTTGAGTCCTAATGAATTTACTCAATATAAAGTCAGTTATCGTGTCGTAGACCCTACTAAATTATTCAAAGCTCACTTTGAGGCTCTAATCACGGGCAATATGTGCGCCCAGTAATAATTCCTACGTTCTGACCTTTGGCAAAAGAGCCTATAAATAGACCGCTGTCTGCTGCCCCTCCATAAATTGTGGGCGGTGGTGCAGAAATCTGATAGCGTTGGATGGCGGGTAAGTGGGTGGGTGGGTAAGTGGTGCATTGCAGTGACACAAAGAGAAACACAAATATCAACAATTGGCTGGGGTTTCGAGATTAGGGTTAAATTCACATAACGATAAGATAATTTCGCCTCATCAAACATTCAGTGGGCAGGGGTAGCTGAAAAACGTTGATGTACCGAGCTGACAATCAAGCTGTCAAAACAAATTAACAGTGGCCAGGACTGGATAGATATAGATAGACAGGCAGCCATTATCCATTACCGGGTCCAAACAAAAACACCATCGAGCTGGTCCGCAAAAAGGGATACGATTCGGATCTATGGCAACATCTGTGGAACCCACGCACGTAATACGGGGCGAATCGAAACGAAACGAAAATCGGAAGGAGGCCCTCGAAGCTCCCGAGCGGGAAACGGTTAAACTTTTCTTTGCCGAGCCGGAGAGTGGAAAACTCAGGGAGCGGAAAAGAGGTTGAGCCACACATGCCCACAGTTTTCTCTCTCTCTCTCTCTCTGTTCTTCCTGCTCTCCTTACTGCGCACATAACCCAGAGAAGGCAACAAAATAAAAACTCGGAAAAATGGCAAAAGAAGTAGGAAAAGTAATGAACATAAAAGGAAAACCATACTAGACGGTGGAAAGCGGAGGACTTTGCCTGAGGAGAAAAACCAATTTTCCACATCATTATGCTTTTCGCTTTCATTGAACAATCGTCTCGATGTTTTCAAATTCAAAAATTAAATCGCCCCCATTAAAACTTTCATTCATATTTTGGATTTCACAAAAGTACAAATTCTTCTTCGTTTTTCGGGCGTAAAGGGTCAAAAGTACGTGGGCGTTCGGGGCCAACTTGATTATTGGCAATTATGTGCGGTTTCCCGAGCTTGTTTGCAGCATTTTTATAGCTATGTTTTGGGTATGCCCTTAATAGCCTCCCCTCCGAGAATTCCATACCAATCTCTGGCTGTCCAAAGCTATTTAGTAAGGGAGAAGACTAAATCAAGTTTAGCTCTTATTAGACAAAAGATAAGAAAGTGCCCCATGAATAAGTGATATGTGTGGCTGGCGAGGGAAATTGACAGTCTGGCAGTTAATAAACTTAATTAACCTAAAACATGTCCTGACCCTTAGGATTTAATGGAAAGCACAAGTGCTAAGAAAGAATACAACATACGGACTAAGGAATTTTTGTATAAAAATGTATTTAATATTAAATTGAAAAAAGGTTTATGAAAAGATAAATTGGTCAAATGGGACAAGTTACATTGATTAATAATAACGCAATAATAACGTTGACCTATTTGTATCGATTAGAATTTAGCTATGGTTCAATTATTTTTTTAAAGGCTAAGAGTAATCGTTCATTCAATGGTATAACTTCTTGATTTTGTAACAATGATATATTTATTTTTCTCTTGAGAATGAAGAGCAATTAATAATATTTCCAAGTTCGTATAACAGCTCACATTGTATTTACCTCCCTAAATTTTAAAAATGCTTTATACTTTGAACTCCCATAAATTTCCAAGTTCTTAAGCCATCTTTAATTGTAAAACGCGGACTAGTAAACGCGCCTGAATCCCTTAATTACTTGTATTCAGTGCCCCAAAAAGTGTGCTATATTTTTTTTTAAATTTCAAAGAACTCACCTCCTATTCGAAAATGTTGCCAATGTTCTGCGTTCCAGACTAGCGTTAATAGCTCGACTTCGCTCTCTTCGGTATTTAATGTGCTTGTTTATCGTCCGCTTTATTAGTTAGATGATGGGTTTTGAGCAGCGTTTAACGAAGCGTGACTCCTGCGGGGCGAGCGGAGGGGCGGCAGCAGTGGCGACGGCCTGGCAGGAAGGAATGATGATGCGGGTCCTGGCGCTTGTCGATGTGTGTGTGTGTGAGCTGCTCCTGCTGCTGCCTGTTTTTTTTTTGTTTTTTGGTTTTAGTGGCTGGCTTTGGCTAGTGAGGCCGCGGCTCGCTAGTCTCACATGAATTTCGTATACTTTGTTTGGTAATTGTCAATTTATTGAATTTATTTATTATATATTTATTTAAATATTTTATTCAGAGGCAGAGAGAAAGGGAAATACAGAAAGAGAGAGGAAGAGTGAGAGAGATACGCAGCGTATACGTAATATCAAAATACAATGGTATGCGTAAATATTGATAGAGCGAATTTCGCTTTGTGTGTGTGTGTTGTGTCTCCTTGCTCAAAAGGCTAAGTGCGTGTGTGTGTGTGGGCAGAGAGAGAAAGAGCGAGAGAGTGGGATGTTGGCAAAATCGCTTTTGCCTCGAAGAAAGCAAATTCAGGATAGAGATTTTCTTAGGGCCATTTCTTTCGTCCTTTTTTTGTCTTTTGTCTTGCCTCTTTTAGCTTCAATTGAGCTTTCCTCTTTCTCTCGCACTCACACACTTAAAGTTTAAATGGAAAACCCTTTTTAATTTAAATTAATTTATTAGTTTATTGTGAAGGTAGTGTAGGCCTTCTCCGTTTTTCAAAATCACATTTATATTGCGTTAAATCTCGGTTTTCGACTGGACTACACCACCACAATAGTCGTGTGTGGGAAAAATCAATATCCCCGCAAGTGGCTCACATGCGTTTTCACTTTCAATGATAGCCCATTTTTCTGTGCTTCTTTCATTTTCGCCTTGCACATTGGAATTTTCAATTAAAATTTTCTTGCGTAGCTGCCATTTTTTCTCGACATTTGCTGCGAAAAATTCTGATACACAAAAAGTGTTCTCCTTTTCCTTTTGTCAGCGCGTGCTAAACACTCGGACACACACAGTCGCACACACGCACCCACACAGACACATACACACGCGCACAGCACTTTTCGGGGCTTTCGATGGCGTTTTCCTTTATATAACAAATGGCAAAACACTTTCACTACATTGCTTTGATTTCCACCAATTATTCGCTTAATTTTCAATTATTATTTTAGCATTTTTTTCAGAGATTTTCCATGGATTTTGCAATTTTGTATGAGGCTCTAGAATTTTTCTTTCCCATTCACCTTCAGCCTAGCGCTTTGTACTTCAGCAGTCAACTTCCACGGTCGATGTTCATTCGCGTTTTGGCCCACACGCTCCAGGAGCAGCGAGGAAAAGCTTGGGCCACTCGCCAAAAAGCGAGAGCGAACCGGTTGGGGCATCGATTTTGGCTCGTTGGCCAGCGGGTGACCGGGGAAAGGTTCGCAGTCCGGAGCTTTCGGCCAGTGGAGACCTCGGAGGAGAAGTCTGGGCCAGCTAGACTTCTCACAGCCCTTATTATTAAAAATCTAAAAAAAATCTAAAAGCAAATATTTTAATTTTTTATACTTTCCTGAAATTTACACTTTTTTAACTTGCTTTATTGTTATTATAAGTATTGGTAAGCTAGTTGACAAAATGTAACTTATAGCCGAGAACTTATTTTAAAATACTTTATAAGTTAAATTTTAAATAAAATTTTACATGGCTTTAATTTACCCTTGTAGTTTTATTTAATAATTTCTAAAATATTCTTAAAATAACATCTTAATATAAAAGCCAAAATTAATAAAAATCTAAAAATTGTTTTTATGCTCACTATTTTTTCCTTAAGAAGATAAACATATGACTTGGGATCACATGTAACGTAAAAAGCTCGTTCAAAAACCTGTTCGTTGTATGTTTTTAGGTACATGCGTACTGGAACGGAAATGTCTCAATGACACAAAGTTGCCAGCAAGGACATTCCTAAAATGTGTGAGGATGGACAAGCTGAGGGATAAAGCTTCGCCTCATTTTGAGGGCTTTTTCAGATACGTTTAAATACCACAAAGCTTTCACTTAAAAGTAAGTGCTGAAATGCAGATGGCGGCAGTGTATTATTTACCATTATTATTATAATTATACCATACATCATTGTTCCCCCCTCAATAATAAATCACCACCTAAACAATTACTTACTTTTAAGGTTATACCTTGTTCGTTGCTATGAACTGCTTATGTATAAGAATCATTAAAAGGCGGGTCTACTTTTCGGCTGGCATGTTTTTTTTTTTAATTTTTCCCCACCTCCAACCTTTTTTTCAGTCATATTTATTTCTTGACACATTTTTAGAAGTTTAATTAATACTCGGTTGTCTATTTTCGTAGGACCTTGGTTTACACTTGACCTTTAAATATTAAATAAGAAAATATTATAAGGTGAACTGATGATAATAACATGAAGAAAGAGTTCAAGCAACTCCATGATGATTTGAATGTATTACGTTCAAATGATTTTTGTTTTTTGGGATTTTATGGGACACATGAAACAATTTTAATTAAAAATCTTAAGAAACACTATTACATGTGCGTTACTGCAATTAATCAGATGAAAGTTTAAAATACAACATTAAACCATTCATCTTAAAAACAAAAAAAAACACCTATTACATAATATAACTTCAATTTTAGATTTAAAAAAATTCTCTTTATTGCGAAATTTTTCGTAGGGATGAATCAAACTAAAGTAAAATATAACATCATCAACATCAAAACAATGAAAAAATCTGCGTAGCAATGAATCAAATTAAAGTGAAATATACAACAATCAAACATTCATCTTAAAAAAAAAAAACTTTTTTTGTATTCCATCTCGTATTCCAATGAGCTATGGAAATAATCTTGAATGATTCATTGGCAATCCTTTACGACCGGGTACATAAATCACGATATTGGATAGTGGTCACCTTCACGCCCCAATCAGGCGTTCGGCCATACCCACGGTTCGTGATTTCCCATATCGTTTATCTTTAGAACCCTTGCACGGAAATCAGTAATCGCCGCGAAGAAGTTAATTAAACGGCCGGTCCTCGGGCTCAAGTCAAATCCAGCGATCGCGATCGATCGCCAATGATTGATGATTGAACCGGAGAGCGGAATGTAAACACGCACTCGCTCACGCACTTATCACTTATCACTTGCCACCGGCTATCACCAGTGGTAGGTGGTCGGTGGTCACTGACCACCGACCACTAACTAGTGGCTGGTGGTCAATGGGCACTTGAACTTGCTCCCAGCGGCGATAAGGGAAGCGGCACGCGCTCGATCCGATTTGGCCGTGGAGCAATTGCATTATTGGGGTTATTGGGTATTTGGATTGGGGGAAATTTCAATGACCATTGCGTTTCGGTTTGGGGCAAGCGAGTTGCCGGTGAACTAACACTTCTTTCCGTCCCAAAAAGAAGTAAAGTTCTTTCTGCCTGCATCGCCCCGATTAGATTCCTTTAATCAACTGATGTTTGGTTTTTTCCTATGTTTTTATTTTCTGATTTCATGTGGTATCAATATTTTTGGTGGTCGAGGTTATGGCAAGGCTACACGTGCCCCTAATTTGGGCAATTAGTTTTATGTGCTTTGCATATATGGTTTCTTTTGGCACATTTTGCCAGTGTATTGCACGTTATCAAGCGTTTATAATCGAGATTTGCAGTCATCACAATGAAGTTCTTAACTTATTTTAATCTTCATTCGACAACTGATAATTCCACCATGCCTAGACTTTGTCTTCACCGGCTGTAGATTTATATGAATCATATTGCCTTTGTATTTGATACTTTCAAAATATATATTCAGATCCCAACGTGGAAGACAAAGGTCAATTGGTATACTTTCAATAAGCTTATCTGTCAATTGCTGTGCACTTAGAACCACTGAGTTATTAATTATTATAAACACTATATGTATGTTTAAGTGGTAATTTTATCAATGTTACTAACAAAACTTTAATTGCGTCTACTTAAATTAAAATATTTTCTTCTTGAAACATTTTTAATGTGTTACATTCCTAGAAAATGCTGTGGGCGTTTTTTTTAATGTTTAATGTTTTAAATATTTTTAATTTACTCAGAAATAGTAAGTAATAATATTTTAAACTGAACAAAATCTGTAGAACATCTAGATCGTTTTATGGAATTTAGTAGAATACTTTAAATTTTTAGAAACTATTTTGAGTGAAAGACAGACAAATGACAAAGGTGAATTGATTAACCCGTTGAGTCTATTCATTAGCACCTTTCCCACTAATTCATGCCATGTGGTACGGAATGTCTCGAGTGTCTCTTGGGGACCATTAAAACTGACCACATCAATTCGAAAATAAGTGGGAATGAAACGCTATTCGTGGATGCTAATTTTAGATCGGATCCCCACGCACACAAATCGGCGATAATGAAGCGATGTATTATTTGAGCATTTGCAAAAAAGTGGTAAAAATAAAAGCAAGTCGTCATTTCGATTAAAATGTGGTATAGATGTGAAAAACGTCATTGGTTGGCATTCGTCTATGCATCATCATCTCGATCGCCTGGCATCCGAAATTCCGGCAGACACGAGCTGCATGCGTGGACGCCTTGGCAATTCGAGTTAATTGCTCTTTACTGCAGCCCAGATGATTGAGTGAATTGAGTGAGACGATTCGATAAAATTCGAATGTGGTTCACACACACGACTGGCGCATGACTCGTAAGTGGACTTTGGTCCCGAGAAAAAAAGAAAGAAATATCTAAATAAAAATAAAGATACACTTGCGTGGTTCAATTTCGAGTTCGGCCGATCTCGTCTAGCCTGTCTGTCTGCTGATCCAACTCTGGATGCAGGCGTCCAAAGTCCAAGTTGTCAATTCTGCCCATCATCGGCGCAATGCCGTTCATGGCTTCGCAATTACTACGCTCAATATCAATTTGTTCGCACTTACAAAGCGAACGGAAAGTTTCCCCAGCGAACTGAACTGATTAAGTGCCCCCTTATTCAGCTGAATTTTTAATTAAATTCACTTCTTTTAGTCGGAGCTGTTGATTTATTTTTGGCTTGGCTCCACTTCGATTATCTCCTTGGGGATCCACGCTGAGCCCACATGAACAGACCACAATCGGAGCAACACCTGTTCGGGCAAAAGCCCTCAAAACTGAGCACATGTTAATTAGTTTGCTAAATGGTTATTTGCCTGTCATTCGGTGGGTGCTTATCGATTTTATCTTAAGCAATTCAAACAGTGATTAAAAAAATTCATTTATTTTTTTAACCCAAGAGTGGGTACTTCTTAGTTTGTATTTATTAGGTCAAGTGAGGAACTCGAAAGAGGAATGGTCTTTAATATTATAGAGCTTCTAAAAATCTGTCTCAATTTTAATAACTTGTCTTCTTTTCTTACTGAGCATTTGTTTATTATTAAATTTTTAAATTATGTTTATACGCTAATTAAAATAAAAAATCTAGCCTTGACTAATTGTTTGCCATGCTACGTATATTTCACTAATCTACGCTCTAATGATTTTTTAAAATTACTTTTTATAATTAAATCGAAAGTCGTGGGTGTTATCAATGGTTATCAAAATATATATATAAAAACAGTGTATATTTGTGTTTTGTCTGGCTACTTTCCGGTTGTCAACAAGAAATCCTCTGTAATCAGAAGACTTTGTTCTGCTGGCCCTCTTATTAACCTATAATCCAGGAATAGTAAAAAAATAGATTCAAACTCTTTTTTCCAAACCTAAGTCTTAAGGCTTAATTGTTCTGGCATATTTATATGCTTTTATATTTCGGAAGTGTTTTGTAATTTAAATATTGCACTTTAGAAGCCAGGCATAGAATTTTCCTGATCAAATGCAAGGGCAAAGTCTAGACAAGTAAGGCCATCTATAATCATAGCTAGCGAATTGAATGATTCAGAAAATATTAGAACGCACAGTTATGTATTAGTTCACTATGATCTACTATTTTTAGCAAATACCTTTGTTTTGAAAATTAGTTTTCTATAACCTATAAGCAAAACTGGGAATACCCTTATCAGGGGAATAAATGATGGGAATTCAAATAACCGGTTCACTGTTGATTTTATTATGACATTAAACACTTTTTCATTTAAAAACTAAAATTCCAGAGGCCCGACCACGATAAGCCTTGCTTTGTGACGTGTTTTTCAGCACGCGCGCCAGAACTAAAAATTAGACGTAGGTTGGGAACAGATCGTGCCTCGATCCTGAATATATACATTATGAAAGGTATAATGTACAATTCCATCGCATTCAACTGAGGTGAATGCTTTGTTATGAAGTCTCAAGGTAAAAACAAAACTCGAGACGCTTTTAATCAGCCGATTGGCATGAGGTCTGAAAGTGAAACACGGCGATACGGAATCAAAGTCAAGTTTTAATTTATATAAACAATTTACATATTATAATCCTCCATGGTAATCTCAAAAGGCCCATGCCTGGCGGACGTGAAAACTTCAAAATTATGATATCACACATGCTAATCAATTGTATCAACAGGCCAGTCAAAAACAAGAAACCTCAAAACGTCGTAAAAACTCATCGTAAATTGGCCAAGAAGGAAGCGATTAGTTGGCCAAATAGAGTAAACAAAAATCGGGAGGAATACTTAAGGTAGGGGTCTCAAATTTGGGATACTCTGGGGTACTTATAATGGGGACAGGATATAGAATATTTTAAATGGGATTTTTATTGCGTTTATATAGAAACCAAAATGTACATATCTCGTATTTTATACAAGAAGGAGAAGAAATGAATAAAGATAATATTTTCCCTACCTATTATATCATTATGCCTTAAAAGTTTGCATAGGCTACCCTGCCTCTGTGACATTCTTTGCCTAGAATCTAGCATGCTCCTGCCCTGAACGAGTAACGAGTATAAATAGACTTTGGGCTATCAAAAGAAAGCGATGATGGTGGGAGACCGCCATTAGCCATTAGGCAATGTCGGCTATCAAACGAGCCGGCCGACTGCTGAACTTTGGACCGGTTGGAACGAGCCCCACCGTCACCGACGTCAGCTTTTTTCCTTCGTTTTGGGTGACGAATGCTGCGCTCGATCCGATCCCCAACCGCCGCGAACATGGGGCATCGAACATGGGGCTTCAAGCTCCAACCTCCGGCGTGGGTGTTCGATGCAGGAGTCGCTCGGATCGGAACCAACCGGATTTAAAACGCCGCACCTTATCAACAGATTTCTATCCCCATCTCCCGCTCTCTCTGAAAAATAAAGTAAAATTGCGCATCATTTATTAACTAAAAAAAGGAAAAAGTAAAGCTGAGGAGTGCGCCAGTAATCGGCTGGTCTCTTATCAAACAAACTGAACTGTCTGCCGCCCGAAGACTGGGCCATACCCATACGGTATATACTCATACCGCTCCCCACTGATACCGTTAGTCGTACCGCTCCAGGGCAGCTTTTGCGGTCGCTGCGCCGCCCATCGTCGAATTATTCACACGCTGACGTTCCCAACGATCGGATCAAAAAAAATCAAATCGAGCAAATAATTTGGTGACAAATAACTTGTGGACTTCTCTAAAGAAATACTTTGTGCTTTTTGAAAGAAAGAAAAAAATAATAAATAAATAAAAGGAAAAGCGAAAGGCATTTGTTTTTGTTCAACAAATTAATAGCTTGTCACTCCGAGGAGATCAAGTTCAAGTGGTGAAATACAAAACAATGATTAGTCTGCGAAAATGATTTGCGAAAATAACTGAAAAGACAATCAGCTAAATAATCAATTCAAGGACATTCGAGAAGCATCCTTTGAATAAAACTATAAAAACTACGTGTTAAACAAAAATTATTGACGTATTTATTGCAATGGATTATTAAGTTAGGTGAGTTATATAACAAGCGAAAAGTAAATGGTTTTTAATTATTTAAATTTTACTTTGTGGCTAATAGTGAACAAAGTTTTACAACAAATCAATAGCTTTCAACTGTTGAACAAATAAATGACGACTTAAAAAATTCATTAGGTCTATAACAAATGAAATGTGAAATGAGTGAAGTGGAAATGGTGGATTATTGAAAGTACAGAAATATAAGCAGATCATATTTTTTTAAATATTTTAAATTATTAAAAATTTTTTTAGTGAAAAAAAGACAAGTATTACCCAAGTCATGGAAGTTTCTAGTTTCATTTTGGGATAGTCATTCAATGATTATAAAATAATTAAAATGGTTTTATCGATCAGGGGCCTATCACCAATTGATTGATAGTTTACGAGCCTACGGCGCATAACCTCCAAAAGCTCTTGGCCAACGTTTGCGAATTCCGAGAGCTATGGCCACGTCGAAAGACATTAGCCAAATTTAGTGGATGTCCAACTGATCCCCAGTTAATCCTGCACTTTATTTATGGTAGCATCGCCGATGAACGTGTGTGGGGTACGAAAAAGTATTAAGATTAATTTGCGCTGCTTCTGGCAATCGGGGCAATCTCCGTGAGCGGTTCCAAAGTCCAGATCGTGGCATGCTCCCGATCGCTGATCAGCGAGAACGGCGTGATCAACGTGATTTATTGCCAAAAAACCAAGAACCAAAAAAGAAGCTGCGCCACTTTTTGTAGCAGTGCATTCAACTGCAGGGCGAAAGAAGAAATGCAAGTGATAATGCCCGGCAATTACGATAGCCCCAGCAGCCCATTAATTAATGCGAAAATGATATGGGTAGCCCATGGAAAACCCCCAAGAAGAGTCGTCAAGTGAGTTAGTCGGGAAGGGATCCCATCTACACTACATATATATGTCTTATGGCTGTACTTTGCACCTCTCGAGATGCGCTTCCCCAACTCCAATCTCTTTTTGCTCCGATTTGCATTGCCACTTGGCAACCGAGGAGTCTCTGGGCTTTTTTTTCTGCGGCATATCACGCGCCTGTTGCGTGCTCGATGACGTAGCGCCACTGCCTCGATCGCTGGGCCTTAAACAATTGACCTTCTTCAACTTCTGAGCACCCCCCATCCGAACCCCCATCAAGTCATCGAGTCGCACGCCTCGGCTTGATTTCTGCCTTTGATAAGTCGGTCAGTCGTTAAGTAGCGCCCAGTGCAGAGCTTAAGTTACGTCAAAAAAACGTGTCACATGTCGCGTGTGTGCTAGGCCCTACTTCCTGATCCGATCTGATGCGATCTGATCCGAACGGGGATTATAAGGCCCCCTGCCGCCTTAAACGACGTCAGTTTGTGAGTGTGGCGTGGAAAAATAAAGATTTTGGAACGTGGCAAACTACGTAGATTGTGGAAAAATATGCGATGAGTTGATAAGGGGTACGACCTATGTTAAAGGCAAGGACGTTATTTAAATTGGGAGGGATTTTCAAAATAAGTAAAGGGTGCCGTTGAGACCTTGTAGTGAAATTATGTAACTGAAAAAATTATTAATTACTAATTTAGAATAAGAAAATAGCTTAGTTAGAAATCATTGAATCTTAATAAAACTTCATAGCCATTGGTTAAAGGTTTTTTCTTATTTCCCATTAATCCGTTCTAACAATGTTGCAAGAATTCGCTTAGGCCTACAAATTATTTTATTCTGACAGTTAAATCAAAATCTCTATACACATCGAACTTTTTTTAAAACAAAATATAAGAACTTCATTTGAACGTTTAAATTAGTTTACCGGAGTTATGTCAAACATGGCATTTTGACACTTTTTCGAAAAAGTTGCACTCAGTCAAAAATTGTCAATTTTCGGACCAGTAAGAGATATCTATGTTTTCACTAATCGCTCAAGTGTATTTGGCTTTCCAAAAATTTAAAAAATTAAAATTTTTTCTTAAAAATAAATCAACATTTTTTTAGTTTTTTTTTTTCAGTGTTCCCAGCTGTGAGAGTTTAAAACCACTTGAAAATGAAGTTTGATTCATTAAAAAAAAAAAAAAAAAAAAAAAGCCGACAATGTTTTTCGCAATGGTCGATTTGAAGAAGGGCGACAGCGATTCCCATACAAAACGACAATTAGTCCCCTTTTAAAGCTGCAGTCGGCTGACGCTACGCGCGCAACGGCATGTGTTGATTTTCCAATTTCACAAGCCGTTTTTGTATGGAAAACCCTGTGCCCCTTCTTCAAATCGATATTGAAAACCTTTGTCCGGGCCCCTCTTTTTTTTTTTTTTGATCTTTTCGTAATGATTTAAACTTCATTTTCAAATGTTCTAAACTTAGCAAAAAAAATAGATTTAAGGGTAATTTTTAATTTTTTTAAATTTTTTATAAAAAATAATTTCACCATTAGAAACCCTACTAACAATGTTTGCAAGATTTCGAAAACAAAACCATGTTTGACTTAGGCCGTAAAACAAATTAATTTTAGTTCTGACAGTTAAATCAAAATTCGAAACTCTATAGTATTAATCATTTCTATTCGTTTCGATGATCTAATTGCCATCAGAAAATCCCAGTTCGTGACAAGCGATTCGGGCACGTGTTCAGCTCTTAAACTGAAATGAAATGGTGGGTAATATAACTCGTGATCTACGCGCCCGGCCTTCATACTATAGTTTTCTTGACCTTACCCGACTGTTCCACATTTAGCCCAGAGAAAGAAAGAAATTCTGGCTGATGAAATTCCCAAACGAAAATAAACACATACTACATACTGCCCGTGAATCGCCCACTTAGGGACCCCATAAATTCCCCAATCGCAACACTTTCATTCGCATTTAAATGGGGAAAATAAATACAGTAATTAAGGGGCGCCAGTCATTTGAAATGCGAGTGATTTGCAATCGAGCCAGCGATTCTATGAAAATCGCATAATAAGCGCAGTTAATTGGTCAAATCGGTTCGTACTTCGTATGCTCTCGATTTTGTGGACCAAATGTGGGGGCTCAGAAGTGAAAAACCGCCCTTATCAGCAACGTGTTCACTGTTAATTGATTGACACACAATCGAGTCGGATCATCAAAGTCAAGCTTGATAGCGCTGCGGGGTAATTAGCATGAATGGGCCACTCGACTTGAAGCGATCATAAATTCACTTGATACCAAAAAGTCCCATTGCGGCCAAACGCCGGCCAAAAACGCCCCAAGATAGTGGCCAAGTTGCGGGGGGCGTGGCATCGCTCGGGCGGAACCAAAAATAAAAGTGCAATTAAGAATTTTTTTTGCATATTTCGGTGTCTTGGCGTTTTCTTGAAGCTGATGCAATGCTGCAGCGCACTTGCATATCCAATTGTCTTTCGGCGAGAGAGCGCCGCCATGTAACTATAGAGCCATATAACCATGGTCTATCCGATCGTCTGGGAAATCAAGACCCGAATTCGATTCCGAACCGATCTGAAACCGATCCGAAAGCGAGTGCCTCGGATCACTTCGGCTTTTTCGCTCCCGCTCGCGGAACGATCAATCAAATCAAATCGACGGCGCGCTCGTCACATAAATGGTTCTACTAATCAGCCAACCGCTTCATTCATTCACAACTCGTTTGCGTAGCCGCATGTCGGAATCGGAATATAAATCGGAAGAAAAGGAGGCATATAGCTCATACAAAATACTATATATATTAAAGCGATCCAAGCAGCCGAAGAGCATCTCGCGTTTCGTGTCCGGGTTCAAAGTGGATTCGCTGCCAAGTCATCGAAATTCAATAGATCAAAACGGAGTGTGCTGAACGGTACGTGTGGGGTCCACCTAATTGCCACCTAATTGCACCTGCTTATCAGCCAATCTGCGCAACTAAGCTACAGATTTGAGTCCTAGCCCAGATAAGCCATTAGCCCTTGGCCCCGGCGACCGGTTTTTGTGATAATGTGAATTAAATACTTGGCAAAACTAAATCTTCCCGGAATTAATGTCAAAAAAGAAATATAAAGATTTGCACTTTGCCGTTTCGGATTAAACCAAATGAAATAAATGATGCAATTCGGTGAAATATTAAGCGAGACTTCTGGCTTAGTGAGTGATAAGTGCACCTGTCGCGCTGGCATATTAAATTGCATTTTAATTGGGGCATCACGTTCAAAGAGCTGAGTTGTTCAATAACTTGATTCCAATAATAATTTACTGTTTTATAGCTTTGAAACTTGATTAATATTTTTTGACTCAAATGAGTGATAATATAATTAGTTTAAATTTGTATTTTTTCCATTATCCTTAATTTTTTTTCCAATTCCTATTACTTGCAGACAAGACTAACAAAGACCTCAAAAAAGTTGATCATGCATCATCCAAGCGTATAAATCGTTGGCAATAAATAACAAAATCGAATAGACGTTTTTGAAAAGTGCTTAAAGAAGGCTGTAAAACGGCAAAAACAAGTGAAAACCGCTGCAATTCTATGAGTTTTGTAAGCCTAAAAGCCAAAACAATTGATGTTTTAATGCTGCCAAATAGATAGCAATCAGCCCCAGCCGATAAAACAAGAGAGAAAGCAAGGCAGATCAACAGATCAGTTAATAAATATTGAATATAAATAAAAAGTAAAGCCAATCGTAACCAGAAATGGCCAAATACTTTATAACCCTGGTGCTGCTGGTGTGCCTGGCCCTGGAGAACCGGAATGTATACAATCGCCTGCACGCAAGATCCCATCCGAGTTCACGGGGCGACATCCTTCGGCCGCATCCCAAGCACCAGTCGCATCCCCATGTGCAGCACACCTCGCAGCAGCTGCAGCAGCAGCACCACATCCGCCAGCAGAGATCCCGCCAGCTGAAGCACCTGGAACCGGATCCGACCAGCGAGGAGGACGATGCGCCGATCACCAAAAGGGAATACTATGCCCGCCTCAGGCGCCACCTCATCCAGAAGAGGCAGCACCTGCTGCAACAGGAGCTGAGCTACAATCATCCCGATGGCGGCCATTCGGAGCAGCTCAAGGTGCCCCGCCTGTGGCAGCATCTCATGGAGCAGGAGGAGAAGGAGCACCCGGTCATGTTCAGTGATGCCCCCGAGGAGGAGTCATCCTATCCTGCCGAGGATCCTTTCGATGATCTCTCGCCCCTGGACTTTGTGCGTAACGAACTGATGGCGGAGGAGCAAAAGAATCAGGACAAGGATCTCGATGTGGATATGGAACAGGAACCGGAGGCACCGATTGAAGAGCCAGCCGAGCCGAGTGAGAGGAACATCACCATTTCGGTAAAGTCAAGCGGCGCAGGAGGATGTCCCAAGTGCGAGAGCAACCGTCAGGTGGAGCACATCACCGAGGAGCAGCTGACCCATTTGCGGATCGAGTTCGTCAAGCAACAGATCCTGGAGAAGCTGCGGCTCAAGGAGAGTCCCAAGGTGTCCGCTGTGGAGCTGCCCAAGCCCATTTTCGATGGCATGACACTCTCGCATCCGGACGACAGCAACAAGAACAAGGAGCTAGACGATTATTATGCCCGGACTAGCAAGAAGTTCATACTGCTGAATAGGGGTAAGCAAATATTTACCATTTCTTTTACTTGCTCCGATTTCTCAATGTCAGGTTAAATTTTGTCGTCGAGTTTAATGACCAATTCGGTGTCACAGAGTTACTCTACATAATAACTAAAGGTTAATGTTCCAGTTAAATGATCTTTGTTCTAGTTGAGTTGGTTCCAGTTAAATTGGTTCCAGTTAAATTCAACTTAATGTTAACTTTCTCTCTCAACATAATAACCAGAGGTTAATATTCTAGTTCAAGTTCTATTTAAGTTTGGTTCCTGTTAAATTTAACTTTATGCTAACTTCACTTAACGGGATGTTGAGAAATCGGCCTTTAACCTGACAAATTTCATAAAACATTTAAATGTTATTTAACAAATATTATTTTAAAACTCAAGCTAACTAAATCGTTTTATATCCTTAACTCTTTACAGAGGAGGTCGAGTGCAATCGTGTGGGAGGTGGAAAGTCCAATCCGTCCATGTGCTTCAGCTTCAAGATCGACGATGCCGATGCCGACGGCTTTGATGTGAGCACCGCCGTTCTGTGGTTGTTCAAGAACAAACAGAACCGCACAACCGAAGACAAAGGATCCCTGAACAGCACCAGTTCCCAGCAGACAATTGTCGTTTCCGAGGTGGAGGTGGATCAACAGAAGGACTCCAAGTATTTGACGGCCACCAAGACGATAGCCATCCAGTCGGTGAATGTGCAAGGTTAGTATATACTCATCACCCAGAACGTAATCATCGCAACCAAAAAAAAAAGAAAAAGAAAGAATCGCACACGTTTGGACCTTTGGTCGGCAGCGGAACGGCCAAAACTGACCCCCAATACCCTCGGGAGAGAAATCAAATTCAGTGACATGTCTATACTAGAGGGGTATTATAATAATTATAAAGAACACAGATAAGTGGTAGCGTTGACAGCCGCTTGTTTGTGTTTTCAATTAGACAGATCATTGCGCGGATTCGTGATCTCAAATTCGTGTGGGTGAATAACTTGGCATGATATTTTTCGTGGGTGCAAAAACTGAACTTTGGCCAAGAAGCGAGTGTCTCCGGACAACCCCCCAAAAAATAGGGGAGTTCCCGGGGTCAGTTGGCTGATAAGAAAAAGTGGATTGAAAAATATTATGATTCTGTAAAAAAAAAAAAACAATGCTGCCTTTCTTTCCATTTAAAAAAAAATAATGTTGTTGAAATCCCTAACTGATTTTCTTTTTCTTGATTATCTTCAGATGAGTGGATGAAGATCGACATTGAGTGGCCCATTAAACACTGGATCAGTGGTCACGAGCTCAGCCACCTCATCCAAATCACCTGCGGCGGTTGCGATGTCAGCGACATGGAGGAGATTATCTCGGTGGACAAGGACTACCGACCTTTCATCATGATCGACATGCAGAATCGGCGGAGGAAAAGCCGTCAGAAGCGCAGCATCAACTGCTCCAGCGGAATGACCGAGTGCTGTCGCGAACACCTGTACATATCCTTCAAGGACATCGGCTGGAGCAACTGGATCCTGCAGCCGGAGGGCTACAATGCGTACTTCTGCCGCGGATCCTGCAGCTCGGTGGCGAGTGTTACGCAAGCGGCATCCCACCACAGCTCCATAATGGTAGGTGTTATATTTTTAGGATCTCAAAATCTTTTATCAGGGTTGCCTTAAGTTTAGAGGAGAGAATTTTCTAATTAATTAATTAATTCTTCCTTATTGCACTACAAGTTATAACAGCTAAAAAGGTTTAAAAAAAAATAATCTGGTTTAAATTTTGTTTTTTTAATATTTGTTTAATTTATTAAAATTAAAATCTGAACTAAAATATTACTAGATTTGTCCTGCGAGAAATTCTGGGGTATTGATTTACTTTCGACAACGCTCTAACATAACTCTTATTTTTTTTACAGAAAATTCTCTCCACAAGCGGCGCAAACAAGTCGCTGGAGTTGGTGCCCTGCTGCACCGCCAAACAGTATTCCTCGCTGCAGCTGATGGTGATGGACTCGAAAAACACGGCCACGATGAAGACGCTGCCCAATATGGTGGTGGAGTCGTGCGGCTGCAGATAGTCGGAACTAGAGATAGAGCTATCATCATAAATCAACCAAGTTACAATTACATATCGGACAAATTAGACGTAGACTCGCTCCATTTCAGTTAGCATTCAACTACATTTCTCTTCAATTAATTTAAACTCATTTGCCAAGCATTTACATTAGCGTTATAATTTAATTGTAATTATCTGTAGTGCATGTGCTGCCACTAGTTGTAGTCTAAAGCTAAAGTCAATGTACTTAAGCACTCGAAGTATGTAGGTAGTTAGCAAATAGCTCCAATTAATTTAATAGCGTTACTAAGTGCTATCTTTTAATACGTAATGTAATTATTTTCATTGTTTAAGTAGCGTATATTGAGTTATTAGCAGAAAAAAACATAAAGAAAAGCGGAAAAATAAAACATTATTAAAATACAAATAAAACTTAGATTTTGTAAAGACATGGTTGCAAAAGACGTTGAAAAAAGCACTAGCAATTGGGAATTTTATACCTTTTCTTAAACTAATAAATTTGGTTTTGCCTCTGATTACAAAAGTATTATTTGGTATATTTGGTATCTAATTAATTGCAGTAAACTTAAAACCGGAGCATGCAATTTTCATGGATGATCGAAAAGTTTTCAAAATATTCTGCCCTAATGTTTGGTCATTATAAAATGAGTATAAACTCATTACTCTTAGAGTAAAACGGTATTCGTTGGAAATATTCCGATCCTATTAAGGGTATGTATAAACGCTGAGATCTTGAAAACTATAAAATGCTAGAAAGTTGGGATTAATTATGCAGTTATAAACTAAACATTTTCAAATCCCACCAATTATTTAAACATTTTGAGCAAATAATGTTCAAATGTCTTTGACATTTTTTGTAATATACTTTCGGGGTGCCGCCTTTTTAAAGATTTACAATCACTCAATTCTCAGTTTTAAGGTCACTAGACACTTTTGAAAAGTTATCAGTTAGTCAAAAGCCAAAGACCCTTGCACGTAAAAAGATTAACATCTTTAGATTTTGTTGTACACTGGCTAAAAATTTTTCTATTTTCAACTTTTAAATAGTTGATGAAAACAAATGGTAATTTAGTTGTTATTTAGCATTTTAAATAATTCAATATTTGAATAGTATTCCGTTTTTTCTTTAAATTTTATTAGAAATATTTAAATGTTATAGTTTTGTAAATATTATATATTAATTGTACATTTTTTGTACCGGTGTAGACTATAATATTCTTTTGTAAGTCCGATTCGAAATTGAACTGAAATCTATTGATAAGCGGCAGCCGAAAGACAAAATTAATTTTGAAATTAGTACTCTGCCAAAATGGGACTGAGGACGTGCACTCTAGTGGCGATCTTTCTCAGTTATTGTGCACATGAAATAAGTGGAAATTCAGAGGCCTCGCTTCCGGATCGACCGCCGGAATTTCTCAGCAATGGATTTTTCTATGATCCGGATGAAAGAAAACTTCACGTATTTTGGCTGCCGCTCGATCAAGTCGAATTTACACCGCCTAACATTGAATACATCCTTGAGACGGACTTGGGGTAAGGTGTTATTTAAAAAGTTAAGTTTTTGGTATTTGGTGGTATCAATTATTTTTTGACTTCCAGAAAGAAAGCACTGATTGTAAGCATCAACTCAGCAATTTTCTCTGACTGGGATCCCGCGAGAGCGGCCACCATTTCCATTTGGAGCCAAAACTTCTTGGGACGCTCGTTGAATACGTCGGAACTCAAAGTGCCCATACTGACAGACTCCAAGCGACGTCAGCCTCAGGAGATAAAGTTCTTCTTGGATTCCGACTTTGTAATCTGGCTGCCACCGAAGGATGAGGAGGCGCTTACCAACTACATTGTCTTCTGGTGTCCACTTTCCAAAAATGGCTCTCAATTCTGCGATGGCCTTCAGCCGTTTAAACAGCAACAGGTGAAAAAATCGCAGAATGAGTTCCACTTCAACGAGTCGATCAGCCAATTAAATATAGCCATAGTGTCGCAATACAGCGACAATTCTGGCAAAGGAATGCTGTGGATTGGAAAAAACTTTTCCAAAGAGCTTCAACCTAACTATTTGTTCCTTGGAATAGTTCTTTGTATTGCTCTCATTTCTTTTGTCTGCTTTAAAAAACTAAAGAGGGCCATAAAAAAATCTGGCTCAGCCATAAGTCCTAATGCACACGCCTAGTAGTTATTAAGTCGTTTTTGGAAGAAACTTCTAGACAAGAAGAGCAGACACATATAAGTGTAGCTCTTATGTAAGCATACAAGCAGAAATAAATAAATGATTTTATTTTATTATTTATTTAGTAACTATTTTAATTGTTTTAATATATTAAATTCTCAATGCGTCCCTTTTCTTTTCACAAAGCTTTTTCTTTAAAATAGTAAATTTTTCTAAACGAAAAGAGGATTTTTTAGGAGACTACTTCATTAGTCAAAATCTTTATGTATAATAATTCCACACCAACATCTGGCATGGCTAAGTGAGAATAGGCATACATATATTTTTTGCACCATAGTATTGTATGTACATTATAAATACATTTATGTACGAATAGCAGCTACCAGATTAGCGGTTAAAAATCCTTAACTGTGCTCTTTTTGAAAGGTAAATAACTCAAATTGTAGGTCGGTGAGATTCTCCGATTGAAAACATTGATCTGGGTTTTTCCGTTCTCATGTTTTCTGGTGTAGTGGTGACTATTATCTCGGTATATAATGAGTCAAATAAAATGAATTGAAAAGCAAAAATGGAAGCTAGCTTTGGCTGGCAGAAATCTATACACCCTTGCAGATCAATTACTATTAATTTACAAATCGCAAAAAAGTTACATAGTCGGGTTATTGTCCCAACTATTTAATACCTTCGTTTCAATGGCAGCTAAAGGAATAGTAGTTTGAACCTTTGATAAGGTTAAAATGAAATCCCGACTAATAATCGAAACTCAGCTAAAGCCGAGTGCAAGAGAGATAGATATACCAACTTTTGATTGCGTATAATTTATTTCCTATGATATGGTCCGATTTGAAAAAGTCTTTCTATCATTTCGATGGCAGGTATAAGATATACACGACAAAATTTTGCAATAATTCTTATTCGGAAATCTTTAAAGATGTGGGAACAGGACCCATTTTCAAAATCGTTAGTGGGCGATGTTGTAGGGCGTTAGAGGGGCGTGGCAAGCTAGGCTAAAATTTAAACTTTTTTGCGCTGTTCGTAGGAGAGCCAAAGAATATAGTGGGGGAATTATCTCACTACCTTCAATAAAAGAAGACTTTTGTGAAAGTTTCTGAGATCTCAGCGTTCATACAGACGGACAGACAGACAGACGGACAGATCGTGACAAGACGGACAGACGGACAGACGGACAGACGGACAGACGGACATGGCTAGATCGACTCGGCTAGTGACCCTGATCAAGAATATATATACTTTATGGGGTCGGAAACGCTTCCTTCTAGCTGCGTTACATACTTTTGCACTGAAATCTACCGGTATAAAAACACTTTGTGTAACTCTATACACCGCAGACATAACGGGTATTCAAAAAAAATGTAAAACTTAGATTTACAACAAACAAAATTAAAGCTTCTTTCGTACTATTTTGACTTGCATTTTTCGATAGAACTGATGATATAATTTTTGTGCCATTATTTTTCGGATCCTTCCTATGGGAGCTACCTGAAAGAGACTTTTTTCAAAATTGAGAGAGTAGTTTATGTATTGCTGATCAATAATATATGATATATATACTTTATGCGGTCCTTTAACTGCGTTGCAAACTTCTGACCAAAATCATAATACCCTAGCATACCCTATGCAAGGGAATAATGAAATAAATTCTAGTGATAAGCGGCAGCGTAAAATATTTGAAATACTGTAGAGAATAGTATTCAGAAAACATGCGGCTGCGGGCGTGTTTACAAGTGACGATAATATTGAGTTGTTTTGCAAACGAAATTACGGGAACAAATACTTTACCGGAATATGAATTCTATACTTCACCGAAAGATGTGATCGGCGGCAATGCATTTGATTTGTTCTGTGTCTACAACTTGGCCACCTCGAGTTCGGGAGATCTGCAACTAAAGACCAAGGATAATGTAAGGTTGCAAACAGTGGCAATCGGCGACAATACCATTAAATACAGTGTAAACCAAACCAGTAAGAAAGGTGAAAAGTTTTCATTTCTGTTGTACTGGTCTGATCAGTATATAGCAACTGTTTTGTTCGCTGTGTTTCCCTTGCTAGATGTGCGGGACTTTAAATGCCAATACACAGATACCGTGAACGAATTAAATTGCGGCTTTAGCGATGTGGGAATACATTTTTACTGGCCGAGCAAAAGCTATTTATTGAGTATGGATGATGGGCCTAAACATGAATGCATTCTATCGCTAAACATCGATTGGATGCAGTGCAAACTGCCATATCCAATTAATAGTGAAACGTTAAACCATACATTCACCCTTGAACTGATCATATATGACTATTCACAGAAGCAAGTGTTCCTTATACCTGATAACCAAATGAAAATGCCTGCCTGGCCAATATATCCGTACTTAATAAGTACTTTCAACTACACGACTTGTATTTATAGGCCTATGGCTTCCAGTGAAGATAAATTAAAATGGCGTGCGTTGTTGCTGCCGCGGAATCCGCGGATCGATGGGATGAAGGTCAAGGTCTTCGAAAAGATGGATCAACACTGCTTCGAGATACCGCGCTATCAAAACCAGACTTATGAAGTGCGCCTGTGGTGCGCCTTCGATAATGAAAATGCGCCCTGGACAAGTGACTATTACGCTCGTTACATCTCTACGGAGGCCTCAGTTCCCGATCGACCACCAGTGTTTCTTCGCAACGGGTTCTTCTACAACTCGGAAGAAAGAACGATGCTCGTCTTCTGGCTGCCGCTTCACAAAGTGGAATATACGGCGCCTGACTTTGCCTACATCGTGCAGTCGGATTTGGGGTGAGCTATTTACTTTAAATTTAAACTATATCTGGAGATCTCATTCATGCCTTGACTTACAGAAAGAAGGCACTGATAGTAAGCAACAATTCAGCAATCTTCCTTGACTGGGATCCGTCGATAGAGGCCACCATTTCCATTTGGAGCCAAAACTCCTTGGGACTCTCCGTGAATAGTTCGGAACTGAAGGTGCCAATACTGACCCACTCTGAACGACATCAAGCGCAGGAACTAGAGTACCACTTGAAGACGGACATCATGTCCTGGCGGCCACCGAAGGATGAGGAGAACCTTACCGAATACATTGTCTTCTGGTGTTCTGCTGCGAAAAACAACTCCCAATTCTGCGATGACACGCGTCCTCTGAAGAAGAAAAGGCTGGATAAATCACTGAACGAGTTGCACTTCAACGAGTCGGTTGCTCAGTATAATAAGGCTGTGGTGGCGCGATACCGCGATAATTCCGGCGGAGGAATGCAATGGATTGGACCAAGTTTTCCGGAAAAATCATCAAATATTTTTGGCCTTGGAATAGGTCTTATATTGCTGCTGGCGGTTCTCACACGGCTTTTTATAGTCTGCTTTAAAAGACTACAAAAATGTAAAGAAATCAAAGTTGAACTACCTGTTGGAATATTAGATGCTATGGATGGTTGGAAGGAATCAGTCGAAAAGACTGATACACCCCCAATTATCACCTTCCCTGGTAGCGTTTCCCCAAAAGGATTAGTCGATATTAAGTCTTTTTTAGAAGAAACTTCTAGACAAGAAGTGGAGGATACTATTGTTAGCCCGTATGTGAGCGTGGGCCCAGGTGGATATATTAAAAATATTAAAAACAATTATTATTAGAAACAAAAATGTAAGGATTTATTTTACATTTATTGTGTCCTTAAATATCAAGATTATATTCATTAGCGGTATATCACAACATTTTAGTAGCATACTTTCAGGTTGTTAACTTTTTACAGTTTTGTAAGCACAGCAATTAACCCACAATGAAAGAAAAACTTTGTAACAATTTTGAATTGGCTTCCTAACATTTAAAAGCAATCGCATTTAAAAATCATTTTCGTAAAACGTCACAGATTCCAGATATCACTGCAGAGAGTATTTGTTTTTAAAGGTAGTAATTCTAAATTTAAAGTTTCCTTTTGTTTGGTCTACAATAAAATCATGTCATACTCCGCGAAATCGGTGCTCAAGGAGGGCTCCACCCAGCTGGACCACATCTGCGAGCTGGAACTCTCGCAGCAGGCTTCCCACCAACGCCTGGTGTCCTTGATAGCCACAATATCCCTGAGTTCGCGCAACGTGGACACCATATACAGCATGATAATGCGTGGGGTGAATATATTCCGGCTGAACTTCTCCCACGAATCGCACGAGATGCACTCGAAAACGATCGAGCTGATCAACGAGGCGCTGGAGAGGATTCACAAGGAGACGGGTCAGATTCGAACGGTGGCCATTGCGGCGGACACGCGAGGACCTCAGATCCGAACGGGCCTGTTGGACGGGGACGTCTTCCTCCGATCTGGGGACAATCTGCGGCTCTCGATCAACAAGGATCTGTACGACAAGGGCAACAAGGAGGCGGTCTACGTGGACTATCCGAATATTATCAACCTGACCAAAACCGGCGATCGTCTGTTCATCGACGATGGCAGGCTGCTCCTGCACATCATGGAGGTTGGAGTGGATGGTCTGCTCTGCGAGGTCATCCATGGTGGCCAGTTGAACAACAATTGCAATGTGATCCTGCCGGAGATTGAGATCGATTTGCCGGCCGTCTCCGAGAAGGATATGTTCGACATTCAGTTCAGCATGAAGGCCAATGTGGATTTCCTATTCGCCTCCGCGGTTCGCAGTGCCAAGAACATCAAGGAGCTGCGAACGGTGCTCGGCGAGAAGGGCAAGCACATCAAGATCATCGCCAAAATCGACAGCAAAATTGCGTTGAGTCGCTTCACGGAAATCATGAGGGCGGCGGATGGTCTGCTGCTGTCCCGAGCCGATCTGGGCACCCAGATACCCATCGAGAAGCTCTTCATCACCCAGAAGAGCATCCTGGGTCAGTGCAACAAGGCGGGCAAGCCGGTCATTGTGGCCTCGCACATCCTGGAATCGATGCGAACGGTCCAACATCCCACGCGTGCCGAATGCTTCGATCTGGCCAATGCTATTATTGATGGAGCCGACTGCATCATGCTCTCCTCCGAGGTGGCCATCGGTCCGTTTCCCAAAGAGACGGTGGCCACCTGCGATGTTCTGTGCAGGGAGGCCGAGAAGGTCCTCTGGTTCCGGGATCTCTTCTCCGATTTGGTCAGCGAGGTTCGCGGTGAACTGGATGCCGCCCACTCCTTGGCCATTGCCGCCGTGGAGACGGCCAAGCGGAACTAATGCCACTCTAATCATTGTGCTGACCACCTCGGGCCGCTCGGCCACGCTGGTCAGCAAGTTCCGTCCCCGATGTCCCATCCTGGCGGTCACCCGGTGTGAAAGGACCTCCCGCTGGGTCTACATGCATCGCGGAGTTCTGCCTGTGTTGTATACCTCGGAACCGAGCACGGATTACGCCACCGATGTGGATGCCCGCGTCCAGTTCGCTTTGACCTCGGCCAAGAAGTGGGAGATCATCGACGACGGCGATCCCATTGTGATCGTGAGTGCCTGGAAGGATGGCGGCGGATTCACCAACAATGTGCGCGTGGTCTACGCCTTTTTCGAGGCGGACCGCGTGGATTGCCTCTTCCGGTCGGACAGAAGACGATCCCGGAAGAACACCAACTTGCAGATGGCGAACCGGGAGCCAGAGGCTAAGGAAGGTAAGTATTCAATTGGGTAACCTTGTAACGGCAGCGGAAAATCGTGATGGATTTTCATTACCTTTATTTCATTTCTCAGAGTTTTTAAAAGTATTAAATAGTTATTCTTATATTATTTTTACAGATACAAAAAAGTCCGTGAAGTAAAGGCGTTTATGACTGTGGGTCGGAGAAAATCCACTTCCTAGAGAATGTCTTGGAGTTCTTAAATGTATTTTTCTAAATAAATATTTGGGCTATTTTTAATAGAAATAAAAATAAAATTGCTTATTAATTGGGAAATTCGTTAGAAGCAGACTTTAGTACTTAAAGCTGTAAAAGCTTATATGTATAAAATTAAATCTAATTGCTAAATTAATATTTTATTTCATATTAATCTGGCTTATCTGTCATAGCTTTTTATCTGTACAAAATTGCAAAAATTTTGATTGGTCTAGTAAAATTTCGTAACGTACTTAAGCAGTACGAATGAGTGCAGGACGTTTCTTGAAAACTCATAGCTCAAGAATGCAAATCTTCCATACTGTTTAGCCGTGGCTAAGCGCAATCCATAATTGACAAACTCCAAAAGTCCTAGGACTCTGCAACGCCGCCAAAAGGTTGATGGTTTTAACTCCCTATAAAGAGGGTTTAAAATATTTGTAGATTACAATATAATTATTCGATTCAGTATAACTTACAGCTTATATAGGGGCGAAGCAAGCGCAAGGCCCATTAGATTTCCCAGATCTCTGACGAGTGCAAAAATCGGACTAGCTTCGTGGCGCATATAAGTGGGCTCTGGGCACCATTTGAAGGCCTAGAAAAAACAGTAAATTATATTATAATTATAATTATATTTTATAATTTATTATTATTACCTGACGCACAGACCAATGTGGATCCATATTTAGGTGAAGCTTAACAAAATAAACCGCCACAGCCAATGCACCCAAGAAGCAGACAGCACAAACTGCATTGCGACGCGGTCTTGAGAATAAGTACTTGATATTTCCCTCGAAGGTGTTGAGAGCCCTGATCCCAAAGTAACTACCCAGGATGCACTGGTGCAGGAACTCTGTGGCCAGGTAGAGGCGACTCAGCCACATGCAGACCACCAGACCGACAATCATGGGATACATTAGGCAGCGGTACACCGGCGAACGCCAGGATGCGAAGCGATCCCAGCAGCGGACAAAGAAGAACGAGGCCAGGATCAGGACGAACACGGTGAAGGTCATCGAGTGGGCGCAGGGCAGCCCTCCACTCGTCTCGCAGCTAAGTGGATGACTCTCCAGGGCCACCTGCGGTTTTATTGGCACCTTTTCATTGGCAAACTCCTCTCGAAGAAACCACAAGGGACGCATTTCAGGATAGATCCTGATCGGAATATAAAAATCATTTTATAAAGCAAGATTTATTATGAACACTACTTACCACTTTTCGAAGGAGTTCAGTGTGCTGACCAGGGTAACCGCCGATAGCAGATGCATGAGAATCTCCTGACTGAAGATGCCGCTCAGCGGGATGAAAATGTTGAAGAGGTTGTTTGGCTGAAGGCGATGGCTGAGAAAAAGCCAAAGCGGTTCCCCAAAACTCAGGCTGAAAAATAGATTTTTAATTCGCAATGCGAAACCGGATAAAAATGGGGGTATTTCAAACCGTTCTTGGGCCCATTCGTTGATAAAGAGCTCCCGATTGAGCGTTATGTTGTAGGTTTCCTGTGCCAAGTGGTTAATAGCCTCTATTGCTTCCATTATTTCTTTTTTTTTTACAAATAACGTTTTTTGTTTACAGCTTACTTTTTATGTGAAATATTTATTATGGCTTGCTTTCTTGATAATAAACATCCTTAAACAGCTGTTTTTCTGATTCTGCGCAGAATGAATGCAAAATCGTTGCTAAAATAGTGTTGTAAGCGCCACTGCTTTCAAGAACTGCTTAATGCCAGCTTAAACTTTAGGATGGCGCCAAGCTAAAGAATATTTTAAATATTTGTATTCCTGTATATTAATGACTCTTCGTAGAAGAAAACACAGTTCATATTTTATGTATAAAGGTAATTGTAAATTTTTAATAAATAATGTGAACGGTTTACAAAAACTGATAACAAATCATATTTTCAATAAATACACATATACATACATACACATATATAGGTAGAGGCCTTTTTGTTGTTCTTGCTATGATTGCAGTGATTTTGTTACAATGGGATTCATTTTCATAATGCACTAAAACAAAACTTGACTAAATTATGATTGTACGTATGATTAGCCTACGATTAAGGGATAGCGATTTAAGTACATTTTGAGCAGCCGAATTCGCTTAAATTAATGAATGAACCTTAAGAGTACAATTAGATTTCGTTGAGAGACAGACGGACGGGTGGCAGGTGTACAAATGGGTAGAGCTGCATATAGCATATAGCAGATCTATCCAAAGTTCTCGAAGTGGTGAATGAAATAGGGCAACTTGCGCGTTTTGTTAACTTCATCACAGGCAGACATCACACTTTTGGTCAGCGGACGAGGACCGCAGGAGAAGACGCCTATTTTGGAGACCTATGAAAAGTATTCATTATTTGGGGTTTTATATGGGGAGTAAATGTATTGGAAACTCACATAGGAGTGTTTCTTTTGGACAAACTTCAAGAAGCTGGACATGTCCGGGCGACCGAAATGATTGACCGCCTTGAGACCAGTGAATATTGAGGTTTTCGATAGCCGCTGGAAGTGGTTCTCACAGATGTACTGAAGAAAAAGAAAGAATATATAATAAAATAATTTAGAACTACACAGAAAAAAAAACGGATAGATTGATACTGTTTCATATAAATTTTTCCAATAACATAATGGTAAGATTTCATATCAATATGGTACAAAAATCATATATTCGGAAATATCATTTTGATATGAACAAAGAACGGACCAAAATTGATAAGAAAAAATACTCGATGGATGCCTGTTCTTTGCCCTTTTTTTTCTCTGTGCATGCAATTTATACAGATGACCCTTATAAGCCAAAATCCTCGTTAACCTACCAGCATTGTCGTTCGCAGATCGAACTTGTGGAAGAACTGCGTGATGAATATGTGTATCTCTAGGACATTGGTCACGTCCTTCTTCTCCACGTCGCGCAGCACGTCGATGAACCACTCAAAGTGCTTGTGCGAGGGGCAGATCCACAGGAAGTAGACCTTCTTGCAGGCCACGCCCGAGTATCGATTGGTACTGGTGCCGAAGACCAAATCGTTGAGAATGGAGGCGTACGGGGTGACCCCGATGCCGCCGCCGACCATCACGGCCACCTCGAATTTGTACCAATCCTGGTTGCCGCCCCCGAAGGGACCCTCGATGCGGATCTTGGGCTGATCCTCCGGGTTGTAGTTGCACGGGTCGAAGTAGTTGCGCAGCTTCCACGTCCAGGGACCCTGAGCTTTAATGTGGCAACTCAGGCAGTTCTCGTGCGGCGCCGAGGTCAACGTAAAGCTGTGCATCTCATGCGGCCGAAAGGCGGTGCAGGATAATCTCACCCACTGACCCGAAAGATACTTTAGATTCGGCGGCCGATAGAACTTGATCTTGATCACGTCGGAGGGCAGCAGATCCGTTTGGATCACGTCCAGCGCCATGTACTTGGTCCTCAGCGAGACGATCTTGTCCAGCGTGTAAACGATGCCGGGACCGAGGAAGAACATCCAGAAGCGGGGAGGTCCAGTCAACCTAGCCAATCCGTGGATCAAGCTCAGCAGATACAGTCCAATGTACAGGGTGTGCATGTTCCAGAAGAAGTTATAGGCCTTTTTCCTGATCGTTGGATGGGCAAACACAAAGATGATGCACATGATGATGAAGAGCATGACGCCAGTGGTGCCGGTGACCGTTTGGAAGAGCCAAAAGGTGATATCCGGTTTGTAGTCCGAGGCAAAGTGCACCTCCCTGGTGAGGCACCTCAGATTCTCGTGCGACTGCGTGGACACATGGTAGAAATTCACAATGTGACCCACGGTGTGAAGAACCGAGAAGAAGAGCGCCGTGCAGGCAGCAATCTTGTGGAACTGGATGTGCGAGTCCAGGGGAATGTACTGTTGGATGGGGAACTCCTTGAGTTTGGTGATCAGATTCCTGGACATCGTAAGGAGCAGCAGCGAGTAGCAGAAGGAGAGCGAGGCTGCCGATCCTCTGGTAATGGCAATGCCCACACCCATAATGTGCCGCAGATCCGTGTGCTCCGCCATGAACGAGTAGTGGATGAAGCGCTCCACAAAAAGCACTATAGTCACCACATAAAACAGAAACAGGTAAAAGATGTTCTGGCGATTCTCCTCGAGGAACGTGATGTAGGCATCCCACTTGGCCAGCAGCCAGTGACGGGGCTTATCCTGCATGGGTTCGATGTTAAAAGACGTCATCCTCGCGACATTCGTCGAAGTGTCCAGGAAGTTCTGCTTGGCGCCCTTGCAATCCAAACCAATGGCCACAAAGTCACCCTTGTACTCCTTCATCATCAGTTTGAAGTCCTGGTAGGTCAAATGGTTCTTGTGCTCCAGTCCCACATCCTGGAACATGCCATCAATAAGCTCGGTGACCTGATCATCGCCCAGACTCGTTGTCCTGGCAATCTCCACCAGCGATCGCATCATCTCGCTCAGTTCGCCCTTGTCGATGACCCCGTTGCGATCATTATCGCACATATCGAAGATAATCCTCAGCTTGTCGTCCGTTTTGCCGCGTGAGAAGAGGACCACCGTTTCGAGGAACTCCTGGAAGCTGATCCTTCCATCCTGATCCTTGTCAACTATGTTAAACATCTTGCGCACAAACATATCGTTGGGTTTCATGCCCAAGGCGGCGGCAAATTCCGCCTTGGAGAGACTGGTTCGCATCACGGTCATCACCTCGCCATCGCTGGAGGCATCTGACCTCCTCCTCCTCTCTCCCGGTCTCAGGCCAAAGGTCAAAGCGTAGGCCTCCCGGAAGAAGTACTCCAGTCGCTTCTGTCTCCTCTCCCTTGTTTCCGCCCTTGCCAACATAATATCCCTATTCACCTCCATCAGGGTCATCTCCTTCTTGTGCAGCAGCAGGAAATCCTCCAGCTTCTTCACAAACTTCCTGCGCGCTCCATAAGATTCCAGCTCGAGTACCAAATCATGATCACTGGGCACGCGCAGTAGAATATACGGCTTCTTCTTGATGTGATTCGTGGCCGACTCCTCCACACTGACCACATCGATGTGCTTCAGGCTAAAGGTGCGCAGCTTCTCCCCCTTCCGGTCCACCGTGTAAATGGCCGCCTCGGGGCCCGAATTTAACCGTCACCAATCGCTTGTGATTGGCATGCAGCCACTCCCTGGCCAGCATCTTGTCCACCGAACCCTTGTGTTGCGGCGCCCTCAGTGCCTCCTGGCGGATCTTTAACCTTCTCCTCTTGCTGTTCTGCAACTTGACCACACAGTAACCGGCACCGGCGCACAGAATGGGCACAAAGCCGAGGAAGACGCACACGTAGATGAACATCAGTTCGGACCCCGAAAAGTAGTCGTAGCCCTCCAAATAGGTGCACGGCTCCAGTTCGGTGGCATTCAGCTGCATGGGCTGCGGACAGGGATCGCCGGTGTGCCACATGAACACGTCCTTCTGGATCTCCTCCTCGTTTATATCCGTGCTGTTCACTATGATGTCCCACAGGGTGATCTTGCGCAGCTCCTTGATCTCTTCGGGCGTGAATATCCCATTCCTTTCGTTCTCGAACCAAAAACGATCGGCATCCCGGAGTCGCTGGAATTGCTCCTTGATTACGGCAGTGAAGAACTCGCCCGGTTGGCCATAGGATTCCAACATGCCGCCCACATAGACATCCACATCATCCAGCTGGTTGTCATAGGCCTCTTTTAGCATGCTATAAAAAATAAGGGGAATCAATTAATTACATTTTTTTTGGATTTTCCCTAAGTTTATAACTCACTCCAAAAGCTCTGGCTGCGTTTCAAACAGCGGCGGATTGATGTCCGTCCAGGTCTTGTGCCTTTTCAGGCCATACGACTCCCTGGCCGTATTGTAATCCGGCAGGCCATTATCCCGACCTCGCATTATATTCAGAGCCCCCAGATCACGGCGCGTAAACTCCATGGGTCCGAAGAGCTTGTCCCGCACATCGGAGCAGAGAACGGGATCCTCACGTTCGGATATTTGCGAGGCCAGGCCCATAAGCACCTCTTCCACACTGGTGTCAGCGAAAAATCCCTAAAAAGTGTATAAGTTCTATAAAATAATTCCCTATTCCGTAAACCCAAAAACTCACGCTTGAATCCCACCAAGTGGAGCAAAGTCTGACCGCCGGATAGCCCATGGGCGTTTCCTTAAAGTTGCACTGACCATCGCGCCTGTAAATTCCCGGCGGAATCATTGTGTGGCCAAAACCGAAAGGCAGCCGCCTGGAATATGTGACCGATGCCAGGATGTATGTCCTGTTTATACCCGTCGTAGGGTGGCAGTGAGGTGCCCAGAAAGGCCGGCAAATACTCATAGACTATCACATTCTGCAGGCTGGCAATCACCGTGTGGCGGGCCCGCTGGTAAATGTCCTCGTCACTCCAATCCGGATGCAGTCGCTTGATCCGCTGGGCCAGAGTGTTGTGCCAGCGCAGGAAGAGAATGGCGAAGGACAGGATCGCAGGATTCTGGTTGGTGCGAGGGGTCGCCCAGAACTGGAAATAAATAATATTAGAAGTATAATTAATAAATAAATGTTATCAAAACCAAATAAAAGATTGATTACTGGTTATTTTTAATTTTTTAAAAATTTTGTAATAGGTAACTAGTATACAAATGTAAAAGCACATGTTTGTATAAATTCTTTAG